AAATGAAACCCATCTAAACAGTCTATTAGGTTTTACTTCACTCAGCAGAGCCAAAGCCATTAAACAGAATAAATGTTACATTCATCATAATCAATGGGGAAAAAATTCTCAGTCCCATTTCTAACAGTCTGTAGCCCACTAATTTTCAAAACAAACAGAATGAACATCTGGAATTCTCCCAGTGAGACTTCTTAAAGAAATAGTCACTGCTCCTTGAAATGAAAAATCTGAGTGGAAGTACAGTTTGGGGAGAGAACAATCCAAGAAATCTGCTTCAAAAGCAAGACAGTGAGAAAGGAACCTGCAGACTCTTGCAAAAAACCTCCCTTGTTTGACAATTTAGAGAGGTGGACTAGCACATTTATCTTCATTCTGCTCCCTACAGGTCTTTCCCTTCCAGATATTCTCACAGAAGATCACTGCTGTTTCTCAAGTGATTCAAACCCCACCTCCTCTGTCCCATCTGCCCCAACCCATACCTGAATAGAATACATATATTGAACTTACATTTTCTGCCTCCTTGGCACTTACGATGCAAAATGCAAACTTTTCATTTTCATTAAAATGGCATCAGTTTTTTCCACAGTATTTTATGAAAAGCGAAAGCTGGCAGATTTTCATGAACATATGGATCTCACTGATAAGGCTATCTCAAGCACTTAGTCTATGCCATGGTATGCAGTCTGTGCCACCTCGGGTGCATCCCACCCATGTCTGGAAGGCTCTAAGAACTCTTCCACTAAAACCMGAAACTTTGATACATGCTAATATTCAAAACCTTTGGTGCAATTCTACAATTATTAATTAGCAGATCCAACAACCTGCCTGCCCTCTGAAGTGCATCCAATCCCAGCAAAACAGATACAGAAGTGCAGGGACTGACTACACCAGGTTAAGCCAAACAGCTGCAGGTATTTTTCAGCACCATTTAAAATATTTTTTTAAAAGCTTCTCAACTGCTTTTCAGCAACTAATCATAATCCTCAAATCATTCTAAGCACGACAGAAAAGCATTTCCATAATTATTAATCAGCCCTAGATGACCCACATAATAAAACCTACATACCTGAAGCCTAATTCCTCCTGAAGGTTTCTTTGCTTTGGTGCTGTACTGCACTGTAGGAAAGTGCCTACATCAGGAGGCAGCCCTGAACCAGGAATCRGCACCAAGCTCCTCCTGTGGAGATGGCCAAGTTCTTCATTCAACACAGATACAAGAGGTGCTGCTGCTTCTCTCTCACTCCTTGGACTTAAGAGGTTGTTCATAGCACAGGGAGTGAGCATTCCTCACTAACCTGGTGTTCAGAGCTCTCAGCTGAGAAGGGGTGAGACCTCTGGTAGCCACAAGGCACACAATGACTATTTCTGTATTTTAGCCAAAATGCCTTTTGAAAGCACACACCATTGCAGACTAAATGGCCTCASCTTTCACAGCAAAACAAGGTGACATCCACTGGCTCAGTGCATTAAGACCCAGGAAATCACTTCTGGAATGTAGCCGTTACAGCTGACTAGGAAGAGAAACTACAGAAGAAAACAAGCAGCTTCTGCTCCAGAGAGCATGGGCAGAAGGACAGAACTGGTTCAAGCTCACTGCATGCTACTCTGAGACATCTCTGTGTGCAGAAAACACAGCTGTCCCTGCTGTAAGCAGCATTACCCAGGTTCCTCTGACTGCAGTCTGAAAAAACCTGTATTTACCAACTGCAGCAAAAGCTGAGGTCCTTGCAGCTATACATGACTATTTTTAGTGCTCTATCAGCAATACCACTATATACTCCTCAAGAAAACAATGAATTGTCTTGCATGCTCTAGAAAGCCCAAAACGAGCGATCTAAATAATTTTATAGTTTGCTCTGCTAACTGATCGGTCATTTCATTTACCATGGTTCCATTCACAATGGCATTATAGTGATTCTGAATTAATAACTTAAGAAAATCATATGGTTTCTCACACATTYTCTTTTTATTTGCAACACTGTGCATGCCAAATGGAATGGCTTTATGAATTAAATCTTAAAAGTTAAAAAAAAAAAATAGGTCAGTATTTGCGTAACAGCACAGCCTTGGCCCACAAGTCACAAGTCTGCTAACCAGCAGGGTCAACTACTGACCTGTGGCATGACACACCATGGTTGGTGACTGATCTGTCCCACTAAATGGCTTTGGATCTACTTCAACTACAGAGCTGCCTGCTTTGTCACTCCAGATATCCTGACTCCTGTAGGACTTCTTCCTGGCAGAATAACCAAACTACGGGAAAGGATGCRGAATCTCTAATTCATTGATTTGCTCATAGGAGTATGAGGCACAGACACACACTGCACATAGGATAGTGCATATTTAAGTACTGACTTCTGCTGCCACTGGCTTGCTGAGTGCTCCTGTGCCAGACTRAGAAAAGCCTTTCTTTCAGCTGTGATCCAGGTGCAGATGTGGGGAAATGGAGCACTCCCGATGACAAGAGTAGCATTATATATTCTCAACGTTTCATGATCATGGGCTTTGAGTCATTCACATTTCAAAATCAGACTTCACTTGTTKCAGACTTCTGAGAACTTAACGTTACATGCTGCAGCTTTTAAAGGCCCAACAGGAACCAAGACAAGACTAAGGCTCAGCACCAAGACCAAAATTCCATCCTTATGTTGTTTTCTCTTACTTGAATTGCATGACTAGGACTAAACTTAATTTAGCATTTCCTGTCCTTTGTTAACTGAATGAGAGACTCTAAGCTAAAAATTAGAAAGGCTTTTCCATGTTTCAAAACAGTAAATCTAATAAAATTAAAATTTCATATAAATACATTACAGCATATTTTATGTAAATGGAGTAAAAGGATTTAAAAGGTAACTGAATTACTTTAAAAGCTTTTCCTAACCAAGTAATTTTTATATTAAGACAATTTACACACACACAAAATACTTTGAACAATTATTTTTAAACAAAGTATTATATTCAGCTCATGAGGTACATCCTGGGAGAAAAGAAGTATTTTAGGAAATACAGATGTGACAATATTTCTCTTAGTTGTTTTTGCTGAGCAGATATATCCCACCTTAAAAAGGCTGTGACTGAGCACAGTTCCAAGCAGAACAGRAAAATGTTACACGTCTGARATGAATGGTCACAAGTYGTAGCAAATTGCYATAAAAACCTAATGCTCAGTGACARTCCCTGCACCTATCCCTCAAAAATAACAGCAAACTRCACCAGCAATGACACTGTGAGAAGACACTTGAGCAGGCTCTGGCACAAGCAGCTGCCTTAGGCTCCTGMATCACCCGTGTTTCTGATACAGGGTAACACTGTGCACAGGGCATGGTCACACCATGTGCACACACAGTCCCTACCCCACAGCCAGGTCAGCCATTCCGTTCCCTCTTCTCAAACAGCCAAARCACATTCTCCGCTCCATCAGAGCCTCTCCAAGGCTTCTCCTCAAACYATCCTTCAGCAAAGTTACTCACCATGACAAGGACCACCACTTCTTATCCATCTGAAACCTTCACGTTCTCAGCTCATCAGGAACTCTGCCTCAGGGCCAAACTTCTGCCCCAGAGCCTCAGTAACACACCTGGTTACTGCAGCTCTGTACAGCTCTGACCATCCCCCAGCAGCTCCAACCCTTCCTGCCCCAGCTGGCTGAGGTTTGCTGCAGTATCACCTAATCAGGCTCATGATCACTTCCAGCTGATGGCTCCCTGCCAGCCCTGCCGAGCAACAAGGTGCACCTGASCCTCTTTAACTCCTCTCACTGAAACACACAGGCTGAAAATTACATMATACCTACCACCTGAGCACTAAAGGTGTTAAAGCTTTGTGTGAAGACAAAGTAGACGTTTAAGTGAGAAATATAGAAAATGTCAGCCAGTTACAGGGACCCCATAGAAAAGAGCGAGAGATAATAAATTCCTCTGAGTTTTCATTAACTCTCAGCTGAACACTGTTAAATGTGTACCTCCTTTTCCCCTGCACATACAAATTCCTTGATTTACATACAAATGTGGATAGCAACAATGCCTCTTATTAAAAGAAAAAGGCAGCAAGCAAAAGTAAATGGCATAACCACAGACCAGAGGTGAGGGCAGTAATAGCAGAGTTGCTGGGGTCGGCAGTCGCCGAGCTTACCTCGCTGCCAAGGGCACGGTCCATCAGGTCCACAAAGTCTTGTCTCGGCACTCGTATGACCCCTGTCGGGCCACAAGGCTGAGGCGGTGCCACGGAGACGGCTCCTACAGAGCCCCACAGCGGCCCTCCCGCCACCTGCGGCCCGATCAGCCCACCCTGAGGCCCC